AGCCCATACTGGGAAAGTCACGCAGGGGAGGGTTCGACCTTCCTGGGCTACTCAGTGCACAGCGATGCTGTTTGGACATGTCTGTGTGTACGACAGCAGCTGTCCACACCCGTGCGTGACGGCCCCTGCCAGTCGGTGACACCAGAAGGTGCCGTGCGATGATCTGGGCCTGACTGTCTCGCTGTGCTCCCAGCTCGACACCCGTTCCCACTCTGAGTGACTGTTGACACATTCCTGGGTGTGTGTTGTGCCTTAAAGGAGATTCTGCTCCCGACGCCGGGTGTGCTGTCCAGCCTGGTTGCACGTGGTCTCTGCCTTTCCCGAGACCCAGCGCGTCGAGAGTGGACTCTTCTGGGAGGAACCAAAGGGGCCGCTGTGCAGGGTCTGTCTCCGGTGTTCCCGTCGACACCCGGACCAGCTGAACTGGGGCCACATCCTGCCACCTGCCACAGCCCCTGGGAGCCACGGCTGGCCCAGGGCCCTTTTGCACTAGAAGCAGACAATCGGGACTGTGTTCAGCTTAACCCAAGACTCAGAAAAGTAGGCTCGTTAAAAAACCTGCTCTTCGCCCTGGCCGGTTTGGCTCAGCGGTTGGAGCGTCGGCCTGTGGTCCAGAGAGACCCGGGTTCGGTTCCCGCTAAGGGCACGTACCTCGGTTGCAGTTTGTCCCCGGCCCTGGTTGGTCGTGCGGGTGGCAGCCACTTGTTGTGTCCCTTCACGTCGATGTTTCTCTCTCTCTCTCCCTCCTGCTCTATCTGAACAAAAAAATGGAAAAATGTCCTCGGGTGAGGAAAAAACAAAAACAAAAAAACCTGCTCTTCTGTCGCAAAAATAAATTAATAATAAGGAAAAAAGGAGCAAGACTAGATTGTTCAACAACCAAAATAAATGAGAATATGAGAAACAACAACAAAAAAATCCCCACTCTTTAGCCTGGCCAGTGTGGCTCAGTGGTTGAGCGTCGACCCATGGGCCAAGAGGTCACTGGTTCGATTCCCGGTCAGGGCACATGCCCAGGTTGTGGGCCCGATCCCCAGTGGGGGGCATGCAGGAGGCGGCCAATCGATGTTCTCTCTCATCGATGTTTCTATCTCTCTCCCTCTCCCTTCCTCTCTCTCTAAAATCAATAAAGAAAGAAAGAAAAGAGAAACCAGGACATACACAGGAAGCTGGGCTGGTGGTTGCCTTACACCCAGGGCCCAGCCTGTCAGAAGGAAGAGCGCCCGAATCCCAGGAATATGGGGGTGTCAGTCTCACAGCTGCAGGCACAGCAGGTGAAATCTGGTCAGGTCGGAGGGGCAACAGGGACTATTTCTGGGGTAACAGGCGAGATTAAGGTAGAGGCCAGCCCTGCGTCCCAGGTCCCGGTTCTGGTCGGCAGACCTGACAACAGGCAGGTCCCTGAGCACCTGCCCACACGCGGAACGTGCCGGGTGCCAGCTCGGTCTTGGCTCCTTGACACTTTGTCAGGATGCAAGGTCGGCTGCCCACGAAATAGTGGTCATATGTTTCTAAGTCTTCTTGTCCGAATTTTCAGATCACAATGAGCATGGGTGGTCCCCGAGCGCTCTGGACAGCTGGCTCTCCCTGGGGAGAAGGCCATCTGTCAGGGGTCTGCGGGGCCCCCTGCCTCATGGCACACCACCGGGACTGCAGACGCAGGACAGACGTGTTCAAGTGACCACTGCGAGGAAGGCTGGGCGGACCAGCAGGAGGAGCGTGAGCAGGACGTGGCTGTGGCCTGCGCCGCCCGCCCTCCGCCTCCACCAGGTGTGGACGCTGTATCCACGCACTGAACTGAGCAGCTGACTGCAGCCAGGGGTCACCCCACAGCCTCCTTGGGTCGGCCTCCGGGTCCTCCGCCCAGGGTCTCGCCTGGTGCAGCCTGCCTCAGCCAGGGCTGCGTCCTCGCCTGCATGGGCTCGAGCTGCTTCCCTGCTGGCCCAGGTGATCGTGGGCTGATGCTGGGCTGCCCTCCGTGTCCCGCCATGGGGTCCCCTTCACAGGGCCCTTCACAGCATGGCCAGTGGGAGAGGCTGACCCGTCGGCTTTGATGGAGACTCTGAGTCAGAGCGACAGCCAAGCACCTTGTCCTGTGGGTGCAAAGTGCCATCCCACTGCAGTGACCACTCAGCGTGTGGACACTGGACACCACAGTGGCCGGAGCCCTGGGGGCATCTGAGGCCTGTTCCCACCACCTGGCCCTTGGCAGTGGTTTCCCTGCATGTTCCCGAGAGAATCCTGACAGCGCTCAGCTAATCGTCTTGGCATTTCCTGTATCACCAGACCACATCCCTCCCGCGTTTAATCCCTCCAGGCCCGGCCTCCTCCTCTCGTGGCATGAAGGCCAGACTACACCCACATGGCTTCCCTGGGCCACTAACTTGTGGGCGTGCCTCCCTCAGAGCCATCGTGGTCAGAGGGGGACATAGGCCTGTTCTACTCTTCTGACGGCACTTCTCAGGGTGCACGACGAGGTGATCTTACCGGCCAGCCAGCAGGTCGGCCACTCCTCCACCAGCTCCAGCAGGGTGGGAGCCTGGCTCTGCTCCCACCCACGCCCTGGCCTGGTACACAGTAGGTGCTCAGCAAACAGCAGATGTGACCACATGTGTGTGCGTCTGCTTGTGTCTCTGAGTGCCTGTGGTTTTTCCTCCTGATGACCAGGCGTTCTGGAATGTCCAAGTCTCCAGAACAAGAGCCAGAGCCTGGTTCTCAGCCGGGCTGGGCGGAGCCACGCACTCCCCACCCCCCCCAGGGGCGATGGCTCCAGGGCTCTGGGGCTGCTGGAGGCTGGAGGTGGGACTGGAGCCATGTCAGGGTCCTGTGCCCTGGTCTGCTCTCTTCCCTGTGGGAGGTGCGGGCGAGGCGGGGGCTCAGCAGTCCACAGACACTGGAGAAAGAGCTGGGGCCTCAGGCCTGGGCTGCAGGAGGGGCAGGTGGCCCAGTGGAAGCCCAGGCCGCCTGCTCCTCTGTGGCCATTTCCTGCCAAGGACTGGGGGCGGGTTGGGGGGGGGCAGCAGCCCTTTGCCTCAGACAGAGAGCAGGATGGGGCAGAGAGGAGGGTGTTGCTGCTTTGGTCCATCCTTGTCCAGTGGTGCAAGGGGGTCAGCTTTCACTCAGTGGCGCCCCCCTCAGACTTCTTTCTGCATTTGGGCTGAGGTGAGAGCTGGGTCTGCAGCAGGAGGGCCCATGGACCTCAGGACAGCCGGCCTCACAGGGCCACTGTGGGAGGGAGGGCTCTGCAGAGAGTTTAGGATGTAACCAGGCACCCCCAGCTCTTAGCTCAGGGCTGGAAGCTGACAGGGTCCCCTCATACCAGGGAGCTGGCCCGTGGCCGTCCCTGCATACCCCGCCCCCCACCATCCCCGGTACCGCTTGGGCGTCTTCCCTGCACCGAGAGAAGGCAGCAGACAGGCGGGAACTGAGGACAGAGATGGAGAAACAGACACGGCCGATGGGGGCGCAGCAGGGCGGGGAGGGCGGCTACCAGCACTAATATAAACCAGTTAGAAAAACAAGCGGGGAGGCCAGGCCTCAGGGCCGGAGGGGCAGGCTTGTTTTTCCAGAATGAACAGCCTAGGGAGGAGTTGGGGTGAGGGAAGAGGAGTTCTGATTCCAGTTTGAAAAAATAGGCTCCACACCTAAGGGCCTGGATCCTGTTGCGGAACCTCTGCTAAGTTGGGGTGTGTGTGTTGGGGGGGTTCCCTATTGTCACCCCTGGAGTAGCACTGGTCTGCTCCCCTGCCCAGAGCTGAGCTGGGCTCCTGGCTTGTCTGAGGACCGGGGAACCAGGGCAGGGTTCAGGAGGGAGACCCTAGCCCACCAGGGACCAGGCCACGTGACCATAATTCAATCCATACAGGCCATCTAAAATATGCACTGTGGGTTTTTGTGGTGGTTTGGATTTTTTTTTTTTTTTTTTTTTTTTTGAGGTTTGCTTAACTACAAGGAGTGGGTTTGGTACACAGTGTGTGCTCTGTTATTTTGCATTTGTTTATGTGACTTTGTAGGTTTTCCCAAGGTTTCAAATTTGTGCCTTCTGGGGTGGGGAGGCTCCTCTATCCCTCCTCCCCCTCCTGTGGGTGGGGAGGTGCTCCCAGAAGCACTCTTAGGGGGCCTGGGTGGGGTAGGGGTGCTCCTAGGAGCAGTGGAACCCAGGTCTGAGTTCAGGGACACCAGGTTTTGCCCTTGATGGTGCACAGATGTTAGGGCAACTGGCCAGAGAAATGGGCATTGCTCACACACCGGCCCCCTCAGGCTCAGGGCTGGGGTCCCCACCCCTCCTCTCCCTGGCTCCTGTGGACCCTAAAGATGACTGGTACACAGCAGGGCCCTTCAGGCTGTCTCCAGGACCCCTGCCCGCCCCCCTCCCGGCTTCCCCACAGGCTGGTGCTGTTCTGATCCTCATTTCTTAGACGAGGGAATGCAGCCCAGAGGAGAGGCTAAGGGAAGAGCCCGTGGTCTGGCAGCCTGGGCTCTCTGGGGATCGCTGCCCCAGGAAACCTTTCTGCTGGCGACCAGATCCACAGCTGACAGAGGGGGAGGACCCACCCAGCACAGTGGCCAGGCTGCCCTCGAGGAAATGCCCTGGGGTAGTGTTCCCCTACAGAGGTGTGTGGGTGCTCACTGCGAAACTCCAGCCCCACAGTAACCCCAGAAGGGCCCCATACGTCACAGTCACAGCCGCCCACATGGCATCTGGGACCATGCCCTCAGGCCCTCCTACCCTGGACTATTGCCCCTCTCCAGGACCCCCGTCCAGGCAGAGACCTGGCCCCCCTCACTGTCTGGAACCTAGTGGCCAGTGTCCCCTCTCCCCACCAGGCCAGCTTAGGGTGGGGGGAGGCCAAGGGGCTGGGAAGGAGCTGAGGGGGCGGTCTGCAGACTGCCGACCGGCCCAGAGCTCCGTGATGTCATGGTGAGTGCTAAGGAGGGGGAGGGGGCCGGGCTGTTTTTCTGGAGAGTTGAGCCCGAGGAAGTGAGACAAAGCGAGTCAGGCAGGGCCGGCTGGCGGGCGCCATGGAGCTGCGGGCCGGAGTCTTGCTCTGGAAACTTCTGCTACTGCAGAGTGAGTGCGGGGTGTGGGGTTCAGGAGGCACACGCCACCAGTGGATCTGAGTGAGATCGATCGGGGTTTTAGGCAAATCCGCCTGTCTGAGCTCGAGCCCAGAGGGGTGGGCTGCCCCTGCTGGGAAGGGACAGGTCTGGGGGAGTCTCAGAGGGAGCATCTCACAGTGGTAAGGGCCCCCAGGACCCAGGAGGCTGAGTCTTCAGACATCCTCCCAAACTTCCCCTCACACGGAAGCTGGAGCCAGAGGCCAAGCAAGGGCAGAGAAGCTAAGGCAACGGACTGGGTACCCCGTGCAGGGGGAAGCCCCCCAGGTCTGTGCTCCCAGTTGTCCGGAGGGGAGCCAGCTGCGGATTGTGGGGGCCTGGGAACTGTGGTGCTTGCAGGGTCTGTTCCGGTCTCCTCCTTGGCTCCCAGTCCCCCTCCATCCTGCCCCGAGTCCGGCCCGCTGACCCAGCACATTCCTCCATCCCGGGCACACCGCCACATCTCTGGAGCAGGAACTTGGCTGTGAGGTGGCAGATGCTGGGGTCACTCCCCATGTCCAGCGATTCTGTGCTTCAGAACTGCCCTTCAGAAAGACCAACGGGGCTCCAGCCCTGAGCACGGGGTTGGGGTGGCTCGCAGGGGACAGAGGACCATCAAGGGCCCCTGTGGTGTGGCCCTGGTAGGTGCGGTGACATCAGCCTCCCTCCTGCATCAGGCTCTGGTGGCCTCCCTGCAGTGACGGGGGGGGGGGGGGGGGGAGCCACCATTCCTTGGGTGGCCTTTGGTGATAAGCATGCACTTCAGAGCCAGCCGGTGGGGGGAGGTCTAACCCTAACCCCGCCACTCACCTCCCAAAAGGCAGGTGCTGTCCCTGCGGCCCAGCTGCAGGTGGTGGTGAGGACTAAGAGGGGCTTTGGGAGGGGTGGCTGCTCTGGCTTCATCCCCACCCACTAAGTGGGTGTTATCAGCACGCCCCTCAGCAGGGATTAGGAGGGACCTAGGGGCCAGTGCCCCCCCACCCCCACCCCGCGTTGGTGACTGGCACGTACCAACCCTCCCCCAGTGTGACTCTGACTCTCTTCTTCTCCTTCCAGGCTCTGCTGTCCTGTCCTCAGGTTAGTGACCACTCTCCCCGGGGCACCCCTCCAGTTCCCCTCCTGTCTGGCCAGCTTCACTCTGCACCTGTCCCGTTAGTCCTCGCCCCCCAGTGACACCCTTTCCCCCCAGGGCCGTCGGGGTCGGGGTCGGCAGGCAGCTCCGTGGTGTCGGAGTCCGCCGTGAGCTGGGCGGCCGGCGCCCAGGCCGTGCTGCGCTGCCAGAGCCCGCGCATGGTGTGGACCCAGGACCGGCTGCACGACCGCCAGCGCGTGGTCCACTGGGACGTCAGCGGCGGCCCGGCCGGCGGCTCCCCGCGCCGGCTGGTGGACATGTACTCCGCGGGCGAGCAGCGCGTGTACGAGCCGCGGGACCGCGGCCGCCTGCTGCTGTCGCCCTCCGCCTTCCGCGACGGGAACTTCTCGCTGCTCATCCGCGGTGGGGCCTTGACCCGGGGGGCGGGGACGGGGGCGGGGGCGGGGCGCGGCCGGGGCTCACGACGCTTTCCTCCCGGGTCCACAGCGGTGGAAGAGACGGACGAGGGGCTGTACACCTGCAACCTGCACCACCATTACTGCCACCTCTATGAGAACCTGGCCATCCGCCTCGAGGTCACCGACAACCGTGAGTGCGCTGGTCCCCGCGGGGACCCCTCCTCTCACCGCCCGCTGCCGCCCTGGACGCCCCCTCCTGGCTGCCTCCCCGGCCCCGGGCCCCGCACTACCCGCCCGTCCCGGTCCCTCCCTCCCCTCCCCTGGCCCCGGCACTGAACGGCCCCCGTCCCACAGCCGAGGCCGCCAGCGCCTACTGGGACGGCGAGAAGGAGGTGCTGGTGGCGGAGCGCGGTGCGCCCGCGCTCCTGACGTGTGTGAATCGCGCGCACGTGTGGACCGACCGGCACCTGGAGGAGGCGCAGCAGGTGGTGCACTGGGACCGGCAGCCGCCCGGGGTCCCACACGACCGCGCCGACCGCCTGATCGACCTGTACGCGTCGGGCGAGCGCCGCGCCTACGGGCCGCCAGTCCTGCGCGACCGCGTGGCGGTGGAGGCGGACGCCTTTGCGCGCGGCGACTTCTCGCTGCGCATCGACCCGCTGGAGCCGGCGGACGAGGGCACCTACTCCTGTCACCTGCACCACCACTACTGCGGCCTGCATGAGCGCCGCGTCTTCCACCTGGAGGTCACCGAGCCCGCCGTCGCTGCAGAGCCGCCCCCGCGGGACTCGCCCGGCAACGACTCCAGCCACAGCAGCGCCCCCGCGCCAGGTGCAAGAGCTCACCCTGGGCGCCTGGGGAATGTCTGGGGGCTGGGAACGGCTCTCACTGCCCCACATAAGGGACTGGGTGTCAGGGAAGGGTGGCCCCCACGGGCTGCGGCCGCCTGTCCCTTCCCCAGATCCACGTGGCGCAGTAGGGACCACTTGGGTCGGGGCGCACCGCGCGGTCAGCCACGCAGCGCACTCCCTGACCGACCCCCACACGGCTCCTGCAGACCCCACGCTGACGCGCGGCCGCAGCGTCATTAACGTCATCGTCCCGGAGGGCCGAGCCCACTTCTTCCAGCAGCTGGGCTACGTGCTGGCCACCCTGCTGTTGTTTATCCTGCTGCTCATCACGGTCATCCTGGCCACCCGCCAGCGCCGCCGCGGAGGTGAGCACAGGAGTGAGGCCAGAACCCAGCCTCTCTGACTAGGGGGCTTGGGGTGCCTTGCCTGAGCACAGGAGGAGCCGGGGCCTGGTGAGCCCCTGTGCTGGGTGGAAGGGCTCCTCAGGGCTGGGGGAGCCGGGGAGGGGCCCAGACTGTGCCCTCCACGAGTCTCCCTTCCCAGGTTACGAATACTCCGACAAGAAGTCTTGGAAATCAAAGGGGTGAGTGCCCCTCGCGCTGTGGCTGTCCTGGGTGGCCAACCCTCGCCCCACCTGCTGTCCTAACCTCCCATCACTGTCACCCTCCAGAAAGGACCTGAACATGGCAGAATTTCCTGTGGCCACAGGAGACCAGGCTTTTTACAGGAGTGAGGACATCCAACTAGGTGAGGCATCCACCCCCTCCTGTTCCCCCACCCCGCCCACACGCAAAGGCACATGGAGGGGCTCACCCTGCTTTCTCCCTGCACCAGATTACAAAAACAACATCCTGAAGGAGAGGGCTGAGCTGGCTCACTGCTCTCTGCCCGCAAAGCACATTGACTTGGACAAAGGTGAGTGGCTGGGAGGGAGACCTCTGCCCACTGGAGCCAGGCCACATCCCGCTGCATTCCCTCTCAGAAGGCACCAGCCAGCCCCACGGGAGGAGTCCCCTGCCACCTCAGTGCTCCAGAAATCCCTGGGCAGTCCTGCTGGATGGAGGGGCAGCGGGCAGCCACCCACCCACCTGTCCCCTTGGCTTCCAGAGTTCAGGAAGGAATACTGCAAATAAGGTGATGGGGCTCCTGGCTGGCCAGCAGCTCTGCCAACTCCTGTCTGTCGGTCTCGGAGCATGTCCTCCTGACGGACCCTCATGCAGTGCACCTGGCTCCCCTTCCAGCGGCTGGTTCCGCTGTCCTGGAACTTGGCCTGGACTGGCGCAGAGCTGGGCTGCTTCTGGAGCCTTCTCCTGGGAGCGGCCCTCATCCTCACAAGCAACAGTGGGCTCCTTGGGACCCTGTCTGCACTGCGGCTGCACCCACCCCCTCAGCAGCCCTCTGCAGGCCCTGCCCGCTCTGGCACAGCCCTCACTGACAGGCACCAAGCCCTCAGGCCCTCCAGGCCTCTGCCCTCTGGGGGAGCTCGGCCTCTGCAGGGGTAGGACAGCAAGACACCCTTGCAGGGGGCTCAGCCCAGAGTCTTGGAGCTGGGGTCAGCTTTGGGCTGGCACGGCCCCGTCTTCATGCCCTCCTGGCGGGAGCTGCCTCCTGGCTCCCAGACTGCACTGTGCATCACCCAGCCAGCTGCCATCTGCTGCACATGGGGACCTGAGGGCGACACACCCCTGTGCTAATGCCCCTCGGTGCTGCCTTTGGCCACCTGGGGCTGCCCTGGGCCCCTTCTCTGCTTTCCACCCTGCTCCAGCCTCCTTTGCAATAAGCTGCCTTGACAGTCACTGGGCTCCTCCCAGTGACTTTTGGCCCCTCCCTGAGCTGGAGTCTGGGGCTGGGATGTCGTATGGCTTCTGTTTTGTCTGAGGACAGAGGAGGGGTGAAGATGGTTCTGGAATGGTCTGTGCGGCCACTCCTGACTTCCAAATTTGCTCCTCCCGGGAAATTGTCACCATCATAATAAAGACCCTGATTTATAGCCTTGGCCCCTGGTGTGCCTCTGCCACCCCTCCACCTCCCATGGGGCAGAGTCTGTGCCTTGGAACCCCTAAATGCTTTCTTTCATCCGAAGTCCCGCCGTCATCACCCATGAGTGAAAGGTTCGGGTGGGGTGTCCTGGGAAGAGTGACCTGGGAATTCTGCAGCACTTACACCTGGTTGGGATGGAGTTTGGAGTCAGCTCCTGAGAGGTTTATTTGCACGTGGGGAGGGGAGCATACTGGTGGATGTGAGGACGGAGCGGGTGGTCTCAGTTCAGCCTTCTGAGAAGCAGATGGGACTGGATGTGTGAGGGTCCAGGGGGAGGTGACAGGAAGCAGGACACCTGCAGACAAGGTACAGGAGTGACCCTCCTGGGGAGAGGGGCTGCGGTACGAAGGAGCCCCTGTGTTTCCCAGGACAGCAGGGGACAGGAAAGCTTGCCTGCTCCCTGTGTTGGAAAAGCTCAGAGCTGGTGTGTTCGGAATATGACCTGCTGAGTGAGGAGGCAGGAGCCACCCACACAGGTGGGCATGCGAGCTCCCATTTTGGGGAAATGAAAGTTCTGGGGCTGTTTTCCTGAAGACGCAGTGTCAATAAACTCACACAAAGGACATAAAGTCTCAAGATTTATTACTTTGCAGATCCCAGAAATGGAGGCAGTGGGGGAGGGCAGCCCTCCTTCCCAGGTCACAAGCCAGGAGGAGACAGAGCAGGGTAGAAGCACCTATTTTATTACTTACAAGGTGGTTGGGGTGGAGGTCACTAATTTTTCAAAGGCTCAACTCTGAGAGGTTATTTTTAAAAAGTGCCCAGGAAAAGCAAGGTGGGAACTTGGGTGGGAATCCTACACTCAGGTCCTTATCTGTGTCCAGCAGGGGTGTCACATGGTGAAATACCAAGGCTATGGCTCAGATAGCTGCCCTCCCCCCCCCATGCACACACACAAGGACCCACAGTGGCAAAGGCAGGGAGGGAGGCTGGCCTGGGAGCTGTGGGTTGCTTGAGAATGTGCCTCCCTCCCAGCCCAGTGACCCCTGGCCCCACAGTGACCACCACTTCCACTGGACAAGGCCCCACCTGTAAGGGCTTGGGCTGTGGTCACAAACTCACACTTCCTTCAGGGCCTGAACCCGACCACAGTGGTGTCAACTGGGGTTAGCTATCAGCTTCTCTCCTATGACTTGGGCTGTCAAGCGGGACAGGTGACCTTGGGGGCTGGAGTGCAGCTGGGGCATCAGACCGCCGTGTGTGCCTGGCCTAGAAGATGCTTGTCCCCATGAGCTCTCAGGACAGGCACCGTCTTCCTCCTTTCCTGATACTCAGCAGAGATCTATGACGGACCCTCCCTCCAAGGCCATCCTGCCTGACCCTCAGATTACCTCTGGGGAAACTGAGACCTGAGGGGAGAAGGCCCAGGCTTTGCCAAATGAGTGCCAACCTCATGGAGCCAAGGGGAATGGAGGTCAGGACCCTGCCCTAGGCTGACCCGGGGGTGGTCCCCAGCTGGGGCTCCTGTAGTCAGTGGTGGACTGGTGGGGTCTTTTCCTGTGGGGCCCACTGCCCCAGGATGGTCATGACCAGGTAGCTAGATGGGTGTGTCCAGGCTCCAGCCAGCTTCAAGGGGGGTGCTGCGGGCGGGTCACAGGGGCATCACCCCCCCACCCCCATCACTCTTGGCTCCCATCCTAGGGCCGCCCCCTTCCTATTACTCTCCGGTGTGAGACCCCCTGTAGTGGGCTCCTCCTGGGGTGGGGCGAGGGAGATTCGCTCACGCCAGTGGGAGCCGCTCAGGGTCTCCCTTGACCGAGGACCTCAGTCTGGTGTGACTGACAGCGGCCCGGGGAAAATCCCTTCGCCTGTGGTCCGAGGCACCGCGCCTGGGCACCTGAGCACGTGCGCGCTGAGATGCCCTGGTGACCCCCGCTGTCACCACGGCATCACCTACTCTGCTGACACCTGCGCCCCGAGTGCGCCCCGCATTCACTGGGCCCGTGTTTCTCCGAGTCCCCGTGGGCACCGGCTGAGGGTACCGGCAGAGGGTGCGCGAGGTCGGAGCTGGAGCGGGGGCGCAGAGCTACCGTGTCCTCGGCTCCCGGCGGCGACACAAATCCTCAGCTTCCTTTGAAGCCCCAGCAGCCCGCCGATGTGGTTAGGGAGCCTCTGGACTCTGAGCACCCACGGACCCCCGCGCTCTCCGAGGGGGCGGGGGACCGAAACCCCGTCGAGCGACACTTCGGAGGGCTCCGGGCGGGGCGGGGCCTGGGGCCGGGGTCTCCCTTCTGACAGCTGGGGGCGCGCCGTGCAGGTGGGTCCGCACCCACCTCCCGTCCTGGGGCGCGCCCCATCTGCGCGAGGGCCGACAGCCCCGGTCCAGGGCGCGTCCGGGGCGACCCCGAGCGCCGGGCAGTGGGGCAGGATCCGGCCCGGAGAGCGCGCTGGAGGCCGCGCGCGCGCGCGCGCACAAGGCCCCGGCCCCGGCGCGCGCCCCGCCCTCCCGCGCGTGCGCAGCCCCGCCCCGCGCCGCGGGCGGCCCGTGACGTCAGGCCCCGCCGCGCTCTCGGGCGCCCCCCGCTGGCCGCGCGCTCAGCCCCTGGCCGGGCGGTCCCGGGAACTGCGCGGCCCGAGGGGGCGGCGGGGCGCACGGACGCGGCCGGGCCTCGCGCGCTCCTGCCTGCGTCCCCGGGCCGGGGGCGGATGGGCGGCCGCGGGCCGCGAGGCAGCAGCCGAGGCGCGCGCGGAGCCGGGGGCGGCGGGGCGGGCGAGGCCGCGGCGGCCGGGCCGGGAGCGGCCGGCGGGCGGGGCGCAGGCCGGCGGCGGGGAGGCGCCCGCGTCCGAGCCGCGGGCCGGGCCTGAGCGCCGCGCCATGGCGGAGACCAAGATCATCTACCACATGGACGAGGAGGAGACGCCGTACCTGGTCAAGCTGCCCGTGGCGCCCGAGCGCGTCACGCTGGCCGACTTCAAGAACGTGCTCAGCAACCGGCCGGTGCACGCCTACAAATTCTTCTTCAAGTCCATGGACCAGGACTTCGGGTCGGTGGGCCGCGGGCCTGTGCGCGGCGCGGGCCCGGCACCTGTCCGCGCCCGCGGGCCGGCGGCGTGGGGGGGCCGGGGCCGGAGCCGGGCGTCCTGCGCGCCCCGGTGTGCTGTGTCCACCTGTCTGCCTGGGGCCCTGACTGCCGGCCCGCAGCCTGGGAACCGTGGACGGTGGGCAGGCCAGCGTCCTGCCTTCTCCACCCACCCCGGGCCTGGTCCGTGTGCCTGCGTGTGTGTGGCCGGCGGGGCAAAGGCTGTGGCCCCGGGCGACCCCGCAGCCCCACCTTGGGACCTTGCGGACTCGGTCCCGCTGCCCCCCTTCTGCGGCGGGCAGGTGCTTAGGGCTGGCCTGGAGCGCTTGTGATTCGGGGCCGGGGTCAGAGGGTCTGGGGGAGTGTCCTTGGGGGAGGGGCTGGGGTGGGGGCAGAGTCCCAGACACCCAGTGGTTCCCCTGGTTAGCATGGGGGGCATGAGGTGATCTGGGACCGGGGTGTGGATCTGTCTGCTGGAGTCTGTAGATGTTTCGGAAGGTTCAAGACAGCCTACTCCTGGCCCCTCCTCCAGGATCCTGAGGACAGGGCAGAGGTTAAGGGTCACTCCACCCACCGCTGCCCTGGGGTTGCTTGCCATTGGGCGTCTGTCCCTGCTGGGCCACACAGCACTGGGTGTCCTGGGAGCAGCCTCTGGGTCAGTGTCCCAGCGTCTGGTCTTGGCGTGGTTGTCGGACTTCCCGCTTGCACTGGCTGGGCCTCTGGGACGGAGCCGGAGGCGGGCTGTGTGCTCAAGGCCTGACCCAGCACAGCCACCAGTAACCTGAGTCCCCAGCTCAGCAGTGCTGGGGAGGGGGAGCCAGAGGCCCTGTGGGCTGAGCAGGTGTGCCTGGCTGCCCTCAGGCCGCCCATGTCCTTGCGTGTGGCTGTGTCTGGGGACTTTGACATTGAGGCTATTTCCTGAATTCTGTGCTTTGTCTGGGCCCTAGGCAGCCCCAGGTTCGGTCAAGCTGAGGCTACTCTGCAGCTCTTGGGTACCTGAGGGACGTTTGGGCAACTGGACTCTCTTGTCTCCCCCCATCTCCGAACAAGGGGAGGCTAGGAAGGGTGGGTGTGTCCCTGGCAGCCTTTGGAAGGCTGGACGCCCTGGGCCCTGCCTGGCTGGCCTTCCTGCTAGGTCAGGTTAGGAGCCACATGGGGCTGGGCTCTGCGGGTGGGGCATCCCGTGTCTCCCCTGCCCTCGCTGGGGAATCTCAGGAAGTCTCTGCTCCTCTGGGTCTGGGCTGCTTTGGCTGTGGCCATCGGCTATGTGAGAGGGCACTTTTGTTTTTAACTTAGTTTATTATTTTAACAAAAATCACCAAAGTCACACATGCTCTCTGTCACAAACAAGCCGGCAGAGTGTGGTGTGGCAAGACATGTGCCCAGCCCCGTTTGCCGCCCTTGGACCATGCTCTGGACCATGTCCTGAGGGCCTCCGGCTTTTCCTGTGTCCGAGAGTCACTTCAGGCCACCCACCAGCTGCAGAGACCCCCACCCCCGTGTAGGACCCGTGGGTGCCCTGGCTGAGGAGGTGGGTGGGCAGGTCACTGGGGTCTTGGAGCAGGACTGGAGTCCTGTAGGTTGCCTGAGCTTGGAAATGGCTTGGATGTGGGGGCGGGAATGACCCGGCTGGAGGCAGGGGCAGCTTCAAGGACAGGCGGGTGGGGCAGGGGAATGGATTTGGATGATGCTGGAAGGTTCAGTGGGCAGACAGAATGGGTGGACTCATCTTATTTCTTCCTTGGACGCGGGCTGGTGGCCTGGTGGCTAAGGACCCCATCAGCTGCCTCCTTTCTCCCCTCCCCAGAGGTCTGTCTGCAGAGCCCCAAGGTCTTTCTATCCTATAATCATTTATTCAGTGGGCTAATTCCCTCTGGGAGGGGTGACCCGTTACACTTTAGTGTGAATGAGACCTGGAAGCCTAGTGGATGTAGCTGGAGGTGGGGGGGGGGGGAGTCCTGCAGGGCTGGGCAGCGGCTACCCCATGACAGGGTGGCCTCAGATGGGGGGCTGTGAGGAGCACCTGGGTGAGCCTGGGCCTCCTGCTCTCACCCCACCCCCCACTGTGGGCTGGGCCCTGAGTTCCTTGAGCCTCTGTTTCTGGCCAGGGCTGGCCACCTAGGGAGGGAAGGAGGAGTCAGAGGTGGGGCCAAGGGCATGTGCTCTGGGTGCAGCCTCACTTTCCATGGGTGTTCTTGGCGAAGTGGGTAGGGGGTCCTGCACACACCCCCAACTTCTGTGCATGTCACGGCTGCTCTGACCCAGCAAAGCTGGGGAGGGTCTCTGGGCCTGTGGTGAGAGGCGGTGAAGGGAGGGGTCTGGGCCCCTCGGGTTCCATGAGGGGGGGGTGCTGGGCTCACAGCTCCTCCACCAGAACTGCTGGGCTGATTCTCAGCCTGGCTGGACCTGACACAGCTTAGCTGGCTGTGGCCCAGGCCCCTCTATTTCTGGATCAGGACCTCTGGTCTCTGGGCCACCTGCTTATGAGCCTGGGTGGTGCTTGGTGGGGGCTACCGGGCCGGGGTGGGCACTCAGTCTGGCTGAATCTCACTCTGCTCTCCACAGCTGTGCCATTTGGGGTTAGTGGCCCCAGGAAGGATTGGTCACCCCTAGAGCTTGTGTCAGGGTGTGGAGGACTGAGCACCCCTTGCCCTGAAGCCTGCCGAGTCGGGGTTTGGCGGGGGGCTCTTTGGGTGCTTGGGGATGGCCCTTCCTCCCCTGTGCTGTGCCAGCTCTCTGCCACCTTCCTGCTCTGTGGGGGGACCCTGTACCTCTGGGGATGCACGTAGAGCTGTCCCACAGGGAAGGGCTGGCTGCGGTGCGCTGTGGCCTCGGGAGCCCCTCAGGTCCTCCCGGGCCCTTGGCCAAGCTCTGGTCTCAGGGCAGATTCCTTGCCCGGGAGAGTCTGCGGGGGTGGTGGGTGGGGCTGGGCAGCCACAAGTTCAAGGTTAACCGGGACCTGCCAGCAATGCTGAGGTCGGGCAAGGTGCCACCAGGGGCTCCTGGGTGGCCGCCTCTGAGGGTCAGTGCAGACTGCCACGGAGGTCTGCTCCCTGTCCAGCGAGGCTGCCCAGGAGGGGCCTCGGTTGTCGGGAGGCGTTCTTCCCAACGCCACCCCTCAGCTGCCAGCCAGCCCTGGGGCACAGCCCTCCGAGAGCCCTGTGCCCTTTGTCCTGGGGGTTCTGGCTCTATCCCCTCCCTCCCTGCTGCCTGTGGAGTCCCCTTGCCCCACCCCCAGGTAGAAGGCAGGATGCTGTGTGTTGTGGGTGCAGGACAGGGGTTCCTCGGGCTGGAGAGCAGGACCTCTGGGACCTGGGAGGAGCAACTGTGCTTGGGTGGGGGGCTCAGAGGCCTTGGGCAGCCCTGGGTGATGAGTCGAGAGGCCCTGGGTGGGTGTGCAGTAGGGGCTTGGGGTGCTCCTGGGCCCCTAGTGAGCCAGAGTTGCCCTTGGTATGGGGGCTGGGGGTGTTCATCTGTCTTCCTGGGGGTGAATCAGAAGGGGTGGGAGCTTGGGTGTGGCAGGGAGGCTGCCTGAGGGGCCACCTGGGCTGTGTGGGACCAGGTCCCACCCGGGTCTTTTTTGCTGCTGTCACTCAGAGACAGTACTCAACCCACTGGGCTCCCATCCGTCAGCTGCAGAGTCCCAGAGGTCCCCAGCCCACCCCAGGTCTCCCTGTGGTGACAGCCTCTTGGGTGTTCCTGGCCAGGTCGGGGTCAGGCCAAGGCCTCCCCAGAAGTTCAGCTCTGCAGGGCCGTGGTGCATGCGCGGGGCAGCAGGCGTGGGCCTGCTCCTCACTGGGGAGTGGGGGTCCTGAGAAGTGACCGTCTCTGCAGGTCGAAGTATCCACCTTATTGGTGCACGTGGGGCTGGCCCTGGAAGGTGTCTGAGGGTGGCCACAGCTCCCTGGGGGATGCCTCCAGGTGCTCAGGGTGAACTGAGGCCTTGCTACTTGGGTGGGAGTGTGCAGTGCCCGCTCGGGGGTCCTCCTGCCACCTGCTGCTGAGCTGGACTCTAGCGGGGCAGGTGTCTGGGCCCCATCCTGCTGCAGCCCCCCCCCACCTGGCCTGCTCCCTGGGCCTCCAGGGGCCACTGTGGGGTGTGTCTGGGCCCCTGGTCTGTCCTGCCCCATGGCCCCTGCCAGCTGTGCTGGCTCTGGTCCCCTCCCCTCTCCTGACATTCCCCCACCTGTTTCCAACCCCAGGGCATGGGCCTCTGTCCAGGTCAGTGTTGCCTTGGCCCTCTGTCCTGCCTTTCCCAGCCCTCAAGCCCACCTGACCGGGGCAGCATTAAGAAATAGGCTGGCTGACCGCTGTGCCGTGGGTGTGGCTGGTGGGGCTCACTGACCTCTGGGCTGACTTCTCAGTGGTCCCAGCTGTCATCTGGGTCTTGAGTTGGCTGATGCAGCAAATGGAGTCTGCTTGTTACCCTGGCTGAGCAGGTGGCCTGCCCTTGGAGCGTGTGCGTGTGCACGTGTGTGCTGGGCCATCTCGACCTGCCTGTGTCCATGGGGTCTGACCGCCCTCACATGAACCAGGCCTTGTGCTGGGTTGTGTGTGTGTGTGGGGGGGTGCAGCGAGGGAGCCAGACTGAGCCCCTCCCTCACGGATCTGGAGTGTACAGACACAAAGCCAGGTGGAACTAACATTATTATAGGGTGTGGAGGTGGTGACACCCCGTACTGGAGGGTCGGCAGTCTGCATCCCTTGGACTGGGCCTTGGAAGGGGTCCTCTGGAGGCTGATGGGAGTCCCCAGGAAAAGAAGGTGGCGGGTGGGCATGTGGCTGGACACCCTGCTGGGCTGGATGGGGGTCTTATCTGCAGAGCCCACTGGTGGGAGGGGCCCCTGCAGGTGGTCTCATGAGGTGTCTGCCTGCAGGGTGGTGAAGGAGGAGATCTCTGCTGATAATGCCCGGCTGCCCTGCTTCAATGGCCGTGTGGTCTCCTGGGTGAGGCTGTGGGACGTTGGCAGAGGGTGCTTGGCTGGGGTGGGGTGGTCTCAGAATCGCAAAGGGCTGGGCTTCGGTGAGCTGAGTGTGTGAGTGGGAAGCTGGTTACCTGTGCCCTGGGTGCCCTGTGGGGTGGGGGGCGATGGTGGCTAGAGGCTGGCATCCCTGAGCCTCACTGTCCTCCACAGCTGGTCCTGGCTGAGGGCGCTCACTCGGACACAGGCTCTCAGGCCACCGATGGCCACGTCGACCTGCCCCCACCTCTTGAGCGGATGGGTGGCATCGGGGACTCCAGGCCCCCCTCTTTCCAGTAAGAACTCGGGAGTGGGGGAAGGCTGAGCCCAATGGTTCTGCGGGGCCCCTGCCAGGCCTGTCAGGGAGGGGGCAGCAGAGAGGCCCAGACTAAGCAGGTGGGTGGACGAGGGCCCCTGTGGAGTCAGGGTCTCACCAGTCAGGGGAGGTGAGAGACTGAGAGGGGTCCAAGGCGTTGGGGGCTCAGCTTGCCCAACACTCTCGTTGGCACAGCCCGAATGTGGCCAGCAGCCGTGATGGGATGGACAATGAGACCGGCACTGAGTCCATGGTCAGCCACCGGCGCGAGCGAGCCCGACGCCGGAACCGGGAGGAAGGTAATGGGCCACACCCTGGACCCCATGGCACACCCCAGGTCCCTGTTGATCATGAGTTACTGCCTCAGGCCAGTGGGGGGTCTCTGGGGAGAGGTACCAGGCCCCACTTCTCAAGGACCTCATTGAGCCCCCCCACCAACCAGCCTCACAGTCATGCTGCCCACTCTCAGGTCAACAGGGGCTTGAGGACTCACAGGCCGTCATGACCTCCAGGGGTCCCCTTGGTTGGCTCACTTCCCTTCTGTCCCCACAGCTACCCGGGCCAATGGGCACCCCAGAGGGGACCGGCGGCGGGACCTGGGCTTGCCCCCTGACAGTGCCTCTACCGCACTGAGCAGTGAACTCGAGTCCAGCAGCTTCATTGACTCTGAGGAGGATGACAACACGAGCCGGTGTGCGGGCATGTGTGCAGACACGTGCATGTGTGCAGATGTGTGGGCATGTGCATGTGCAGGCGTGTATGCAGGCATGCACACATATGTGGGTGTGTGCAGGCATGTGCACGAGTGCAGGTGTGTGCCGTGTGTTTTGGCATGTGGGCGTGCACGGGCATGGGTGTGCACAGGGGTGTTGTGGTTGTGTGAGTGCAGGGTGTGTGTTGTAGGCGTGTGTATGGATGTGTGCAAATGGTGCGCATGTACATGTGTGCACACATGGGCGTTTTACAGGGGCGTGTGCATGTTGTATACATGCATGTATGTGCACAGGTATGTATCCATGTGCGCTCTGTGCACACAAGTGTGTCCAGTGTGGGGGCCATGCTGGCTTGCCTGGTGTTTGTGTCTCCGTGTTTGTCTGAGAGCAACAATCCCGTAGCATGGGGTTTGCGTGTGTCACGTGTGCAGGGTGGGGTGTATGCAGCCAGGGGCTGAGCCTTCTGATGAACACCCTGGCCCACCTGCCACCTCCAGTCCCCTCCCCTAGATTGAGTGGGCGAGATGGGGCACCTGTTTTGGCCACATGAAGACCCCCATGCTGGCACCTCTAACGTGTCCCCCACCTCCCCACCCCAGGCTGAGCAGCTCCACTGAGCAAAGCACCTCTTCCCGGCTCATCCGGAAGCACAAGCGGCGGCGGCGGAAGCAGCGCCTTCGGCAGGCAGACCGAGTAGGTAGCAGGTAGCAGAGGGCGGGGGCGGGGCCTGTGCTTCCACCCGCAGCCCCTCACCTGGTGCCTGCCCTTCCCAGGCCTCGTCCTTCAGCAGCATCACAGACTCCACCATGTCCCTGAACATCATCACTGTCACCCTCAACATGGGTGAGGTGTCAGCGGGCTCCCTGGGGGGTTGTGGGCTCCCTGGGGGGGTTGTGGGCTCCCTGGGGGGTTGCGGGCTCCCTGGGGAGGGTTGTGGGCTCCCTGGCAGGTGGGTCTTTGGGCTGGTTGCTGACTGCTCTCCCCCCAGAGAGGCACCATTTCCTGGGCATCAGCATCGTGGGTCAGAGCAACGACCGGGGAGACGGCGGCATCTACATCGGCTCCATCATGAAGGGCGGGGCGGTGGCTGCAGACGGCCGCATCGAGCCTGGCGACATGCTGCTGCAGGTGGGCACAGAGAGCTGCCGGGGGGGGGGCAGGGGGGCAGCACCCCATGCGCCCACTGAACCTCTGCCCCCAGGTGAACGACGTCAACTTCGAGAACATGAGCAACGACGACGCTGTGCGGGTGCTGCGGGAGATTGTCTCCCAGACAGGGTGAGGCGCGGGGCATGGCGGGGCCCTGGGGGGACACGGGCCTCGCCCACGTGACCCACCTGTTCCTGCCTTGCAGGCCCATCAGCCTCACAGTGGCCAAGTGCTGGGACCCAACCCCAAGGAGCTACTTCACTGTGCCGAGGGGTGAGTGAACCCCCGGGGCTGGCAGGTGGGGTGGGGGTGCCCAGCCCAGCCTGAGGTCCTCTCTCCTTTTGCTCTTGTGCCCCATTTTCTCCCCCACGTCTGTCCATCCATCTGTTGCCACGCGGCGGCTACCCAGCTGACCCTGTTCGGCCCATCGACCCAGCTGCCTGGCTGTCCCACACGGCGGCGCTGACCGGAGCCCTGCCCCGCTACGGTACGAGCCCCTGCTCCAGCGCCGTCACGCGCACCAGCTCCTCCTCACTCACCAGCTCTGTGCCCGGCGCCCCACGTAAGTGGCAGCTCTTAGTTCAGGGAACTGAGGCACCAGAGCCAAGGAACAGGCTGAGGCGCCGCCAGGCCCGGTCACACCCGAGGGCCGTGCCAGTCTGTGTCCACGGCTGTGAGGTCCCCGCTGCTCAGGTGCAGGACCAGCAGTGCCCTCGGCTCACATGGCTCCCAGCGCATGAGCTGGGGGGTGACCGCGTGGGCCTGCCCAGGGTCCCCAGTGCCAAGCAGGCCCCACCTGCTCCCTGCTGCTAACACGACTAACAGCCCTGGGGGGGAGGCTGATGCCCTTGGGGCTCTGGGCTGCGGCAGGCTTGGCCTCGCCTTGGTTTGGGCCCAGATGCTGTTGGGACATCTGTAGAAGTAGGAGACCTGTCCCCCTACACCCCCTCCTTGGCCCTGGGGGCCCCACAGCAACTGCCCTAGGGGTGCAGTGGGCAGCGGCCTATCCTGAGAGCCCAGCAGCCATCCGCTGAGGATGGGCCGTGCCTTGCAGAGCTGGAGGAGGCGCCGCTGACGGTGAAGAGCGACATGGGCGCCGTGGTCCGGGTCATGCAGCTGCCGGACTCCGGCCTGGAGATCCGCGACCGCATGTGGCTGAAGATCACCATCGCCAACGCCGTCATCGGTGAGTGGCCCCGGGCCTGCGGGGCGGGCGGCCGCCGGGCTCCTACCTGACCTGCGGCTCCGCAGGCGCGGACGTGGTGGACTGGCTGTACTCGCACCTGGAGGGCTTCAAGGAGCGGCGCGAGGCCCGCAGGTACGCCAGCAGCATGCTGAAGCGCGGCTTCCTGCGGCACACCGTGAACAAGGTCACCTTCTCCGAGCAGTGCTACTACGTCTTCGGGGACCTGTGCAGCAGTGAGTGGGGGCTGCGGGGCAGGGGCCCTTGGGGGGCCGCCCACACTGCCCTCACCCACCCTTTTCTCCTGCCAGATCTCGAAGCCCTGAACCTCAACAGCGGCTCCAGTGGCGCCTCGGATCAGGACACACTGGCCCCGCTGCCCCACCCAGCTCCCTGGCCCCTGGGTCAGGGCTACCCCTACCAGTACCCGGGGCCTCCGCCCTGCTTCCCGCCCGCGTACCAGGACCCCGGCTTCAGCTACGGCAGCGGCAGCGCTGGGAGCCAGCAGAGTGAAGGTGAGAACCCCCTGTGCCCAGCCCCCGGCCCCTGCCGCCCGGCTCTGCCCTGTGCCCAGCCCCTGCCCCTGCTGCCCGGCTCTGCCCTGTGCCCAGCCCCTGCCCCTGCCGCCCGGCTCTGCCCTGTGCTGCCCCCTGCCCATGCGCTTCGCTGCTCTGTGCTCGGGTTCTGGGTGGGCTCCCTTTGCAGGGGCAAGTGGCTGAGGGAGTCGGGGAGGCACATGGGGCCTTGGGGGTTGTGGGGCAGAGGCAGGGAACCAGGAGATGCTGTGGGAAGGGCAGTTGGGTGTCCTGGGGTGCGGGGGTGCAGAGGGGCCTCGGGACACAGTGGAGGACAGAGAGCTTCCCCAGACCCCTGCAGCCCGGCAGGCAGCCAGAGGTGGCCAGCTTCACAGACAGCCACGTCCCCACACTGGGATGTGTGGGGAGCCCAGGGCATGGGTCGGGCGTTCCTGAGGCAGAACAGTGGCCCAAGGCTGAGTGGGGACCAGTGAGGCCAGTCTGCAGGGTCTGGGGACAGGTCAGACAGCCCAGCGGACGCAGACAGGAGAGCATGTCGGAGGCCCATGGTGCCGGAGGGGAAGCTGGTGGCGGGCATGCCCTGGTAGGAGGTCATGCGGGCGTGGGTGCCCGGGCTGGGCCTGTGTGTAACTCCTGCTGTTCCTTGCTTTGTGCTGAGCAAGCCTTAGACTGAAGGACTGGCGGAACGGACCCTCGGGGCCGGTAAGCCAGGGTCCTACCCGGCGCTCCTCTCGGCATGTCCCCAGCCCGCTGGCGTCCTTGGGTTCCCAACGCTTCCTGAGGACCCAGGACAGGGCTGAGCCGAGTCGTTGGTCAGGGCCCTGGGGTCCAATGGAAGGTGGGTCTTGGGTGGGGGGCCCAGGTTGGCCAGCGGGAGCCAGCACACGGGGTCTTCACCAGTGCCTCAGTTTCTCAGCTGCAAGACCAGGCCCTCTGTGCAGGCACTGGGGTGAGGTGTGGGGCATTGAGCTGGCCCCAGAGTGTCCCCGCCTGCCTGCCACTGCCTCCCCCAGCCTGCTGAAGCTGCCCCTGCGTCGGGCAGGACCAGTCCTGCCCTTGTGTCTGCATGGCTGCCCTCTCACCCCACCCCGCTCGGGACCACCAGGCTCTGCCCCTGGTCGCCCGAGCACTGGACAGTGTGCTGCAAGAGGCGAGGCCTGGCACTGACAGTCCATCCTCCCTTTCTCCATCCCAGGGAGCAGAAGCAGCGGGTCCACCCGGAGCGCGGGCGGGAGCAGCCGGCGGGCCCTGGGCCGGGAGCAGGAGCGCCGGGGGCCTGGGGCCGGGGGCAGTGGCAGCGAGTCCGACCACACAGCCCCGAGCAGAGCAGGTGGCGCTGGCTGGCGGGAGCGTCCCGCCAGCCAGCTCAGCCGTGGCAGCAGCCCACACAGCCAGGCCTCGGCCACTGCCCCCGGGCTCCCCCCACTGCACCCCCTGACGAAGGCATACTCGGTGGTGGGTGGGCCGCCTGGCGGGCCCCCGGTTCGGGAGCTGGCCGCTGTGCCCCCAGAGCTGACAGGCAGCCGCCAGTCCTTCCAGAAGGCCATGGGGAACCCCTGTGAGTTCTTCGTCGACATCATGTGACCGAGGCCAGCGTGCCTTCCACGGCCTGGTGGGGGCGCCGAGGGTGCTGCTCCCACAGGAGGGTGCTGCATCTGGAGCTCGTGTGGCCTTAGCGGGGGCCGGCGTGGGTCAGGCCAGCTTTCCACGTGCACAAGGGGCCACGCTGTGGGGTCCGGGACTAGACAGCGGGAGCAGGCTGCAGGGCGGCCCGAGCTCCGTGATCTGGACTCAGCAGCCCGTCTGTTCCTGGTCAGAGCAGCTGTGTCCGTGAGGACCTGGGGGTGCCTCTCTGCTCAGGCAGATCTCATCTGCCCCCTCAGTGTGCGCTCAGGGACCCCCAGTCGCCTACAGCGCTGCGTACAGGGCCCCAGGCCAAGCCCAGAGGTGGCTGCTGGGCCCCACTGGCCACCCAGCGCGCAGTCCCCACCCATCTGGTGCAGGCTGGGGGTCCATGTTGGGGGTGGAATCTGAGCCCCCAGACTCCTCTGCCCAGGGTAGGGTATAATTTATTTATTTATTTCTTGGCCCGTGTCCTTGGGGAGGTGGCGGCTAAGTCACACCCACCCCCAGCTGGAGCAATTCGCGCTCCCCCACCGCCAGGTCTCGGAGTGAAGTGGTCCGGCTTAGGGACACAGGTCGTGTCTGAAAGTGTGTGGGGCTGGTGAGGGGGACAGGAGGGCACCTCTCAGCGGTGGGAGGAGTGGACCGTGACCCACAGATGCTCAGCTGCTGCAGGGACGGGTCTGGGGGAGAGGGGCCAGCCCACCCTTCCCCGCTGTGCTCAGGTGACCACCCACCTCGCACAGTGCTTCCTTCCCGGCGACTCCGGCCTGCACATGTCTGCACTGTAGACACTGTATCGAGTCAGAGGTCGTCTGGATGGCTAATAGAGCTGCTTCTGTGTAAATGCTATTTTAAACACTAAAAAGCATTTAATTTTATGGGACTGAGGTGTGGCTGTCTCTTTTCTCCTGCCCGGTTGCCTTAGAAGAATGGGGGGTGGGGCTCGTCCCGCTTCCCCAGGGTCTGGCCAGAGCTGACCTAGGACTGGCCAGGGGCTGCCCTCGGGCTCTCAGCTCAGCCACAAGACTTGACCCGGTGCTGGCGGCGGGCAAGGTCCTGGCGGGAAGTCTTCTGTCCGTGGTGCTGGCTCCTGGTTCCAGGGGTCCTGGCGGCTGGCGCTGGCCCTGGTGCTGAACCCCACCCTGTTTGGGCCCTGTCCACGGTGCTGGCAGTGGAACGACCCCGTTCTGCCCACTCAGGCCAGGCTAGGGAGAGAGAAGGAAGCTGGTGCCCCCTCCCCACTAAGTGGGCCTCTGCTGTGCACTGGGGCCCATGGTCAGGGCTCCTCTAGCCCGCTCACCAACCTCCCATTCCAGTGGTGATTGGAGGGGTCCTGGGCGGGGGACCCAGTTCTGTGAGTGATGCCCAACTTGACCTTCAAGTGGTCCAGCTGTGGGGCTTTCCTGAGCGCGGTGTGGGCTGCAGGGGCTGAGGGACTGCTGTAGGCTTAGTCCCAGCGAGGTCACTGGGCAGGCCTTGCTGGGGCAGGGACAGAGCCTGGCTCTGGGGCCCCAAGTGGTGAGAGATCAAAGGGCCAAGCCCCCGCATGTGCGGTGCAGGCCTGGGGGTCATCAGGTCAAGGGCAGCAGTGAGCCTGGGCCGGAACCCAGGGGTGGGGGTCTCAGGAGAGTCCGGCAGTCTGCAGGCTGCTGTACAGGGACTAGGTCGGGGTTCACTGGGGCGAAGTCACTGAGCTATGGGTCCCTGTTTTTTGCTGAGTTTCCTCTCCACCCCCGCTGCCGCCCTGCCCTCTGGCATCACCAGGACCCCCTCCCAGGAAGGACTCAGGAGTGTTGCTTTCTGGCTGCCACAAAAACAGGTAGCACTTGGGCAGGTAGAAGGTGGCCAGGATGCCCAGGGCGCAGAGGAGGCTGGCGCCCATCTGCACGGCAGGCTGGTAGGCCACGTGCACATTGGCAAAGAGGGGCACGAAGGAGATCCAGGTGATGAAGTAGGCCAGCATGGCGAAGGTGAGGCCACGGGCACCGTCGTGGCGGCCAGGCTGGCTGCGCGTCAGGAAGGTGCCCAGGAAACACAGGGAGGCCAGGAGCATGTTGGGCGCGTGCACCAGGCCAAAGCTGACCCAGGACTGCACGTGGCAGTGCACCAGGGCCTCCGTGGGCAGCACCCGCCAGTCCGTCACCACCTGCGGCGGGAAGGCCGCCAGGTGCCAGGTGCACAGTGCCGCCTCCGCCAGCATGGCCAGCAGCACCCCCAGCCAAGCCCGGGGCCCCCGCAGATGGCTGCGCAGCCGGGCCGCCCAGTGCGGCGGCAGCTCCAGCTCCACGAAGGTCCCGGCTGCCTGCAGGAAGAGGGTGCTCAGGCAGCCGGTGAGCGGGAGGTGCAGCAGCGGCTGCTGGGCCAGGCAGGCGGCAGGGCTGGGCTGGCCAGGGAACAGGAGGACACTGAGGCAGACGAGGCCCAGGCAGGCCAGGCCAAAGCAGGCCTGCGGCCCGCCGGAGGACTGAACCAGGGGGCTGTCTTGGTGCCGGATGAAAAGCCCCAGGGCCACCAGCACCAAGCCCAGTGCCAGGCCCAGCAGCACCAGCAGCAGCAGCACGACCGGCTCCCCCCACTCTAGGAACTTGGGCCTGCGGGGGAAGCAGCGCAGGCTCCTGTCTGGGGACCACTGGTCCTGGTCACACGGGGTGCAGAAGAGGTCGTCTGTAATGTGGGAGGAGAGACGATGCTGGGGGCATGGCTTCCTGTGGGCTCTGGCTGGGTGTCAGCCTCTGAGCCAGGACACGCCAGGACTCTCTAGGCTGTGTGCTTCTGACCCTGTGGGTCCCCTCCCCGACTCCTGCCTCAGCGTGTAGGCCGCAGGAAAGGGGGCTGACCTGGGAAGGGGGCCCCATCTGGGAAGGGGATCCCACCTGAGGAGGGGTCTCACCTGGGAAGGGGCTGACCTGGGAAGGGGGTCCCACCTGGGAAGGGGTCCCACCTGAGAAGGGGGCTGACCTAGGAAGGGGCTGACCTGGGAAGGGGGTCTCACCTGGGAGGAGTTCTCACCTGGGTTGCGCTGGTAGCTGCCTGACGTGCAGTCCACACAGTCGTAGCAGCAGGAGTGGAAGCCCTTCACATGGCGCACCTGGCCCTCCGTGCACTGCCTTGAGCACTGTGACACCGGCTTCTAGCAGAGGGGCCTCGGGGCTCAGGCTCCACTGGGCTGGGTGCACCCACCCAGGGCCTGGGGATGCTCCTCCCACCCCGCCCGCCACGTGGCTGGCAATGCACAGCCCAGCGCTCAGCTCACCGTGTTTCTCGGTGTGTGCCAGCACATCTGGGCCAGCTGCAGTTGCAGGCGGCCAGTGAAGCTGCCCACAGTGCGCAGCTCGGGCGTCGGGTCCTGCCACACCCACAGCTTCAGGTCATAGTCCATGTCCACATTCCCTCTGGCGTCAAACTGCAGCGGCAGGCCGGGCACCCGGAAGCTCATATTGTACATGTTCTCTAGGAGCTGGTGGGAGTGTGGAGCGGTGGGTGGGACCAGCCCGCTGCCTGCAGCCCAGACCTCCCACCGCTGTCCCTTCTCCTTGGGCACATGCAGGGCTGGCACAGCTCCCAAGTCCTCACCTGCCAGGGCTGCACGGGCGCTTGTGTGGGGCAGCCCGAGGCATTGCAGAGCAGCGTGTTGTGCAAGGCCTGGGCCACGCCGTACACCGCTGCGTAGGCCGAGAAGGTCTGGTGGTGCAGCAGGCCGGTGGACACGTTCTCCAGCGAGATGTGGTCGCACTGGGGACAGCGCGGCCCCACCACATGCTCCTCCAGGCCTGGCTGCTCGGCCTCCAGGGAGGCACAGAAGGCGGGGTCGGCAGCTAAGGCCAGGCAGGTCTGCACATAGGAGGGGAAGTCGGGCATGGGGGCACCCCTCTGCAGGAAGCCCAGCACGGTGCCCACCTGGGCCATGCCGGGCAGCGTCATGACCAGTTCCGAGGTCAGCCAGGCCTCGCTGGCCACCCACACCTTGGGCAAGAGCCTGCTGCGGATGCTGTAGCTGAAGAGGGCGTGGGCGGCCCGGGGGGAAGAAAAGAGCACCACCACCTGCACGCTGCTCTGGTTCAGCTGGTGCAGCAGCCCCTGCATGGTGCCCGGCCGCAGGCCATGGGCGCCAGGCAGTGGCACCAGGCCCTCGTGTGCGATGCAGATGCCCCTTGCGTTGGCCAGGCTGGAGAAGAGGCCCAGGCCCTGCTGGCCGTACTCGTCGTCACTGCCCACGGCGGCCACCCAGTTCCACCCGAGCGTGTGCAGCAGCTCCACCACCGCTGCCACCTGCACTCGGTCGCTGGGCACCGTGCGGAAGAAGGATGGGAAGGCCTCCCGGTCGCTCAGCCGATCAGTGGTGGCACCATAGCTGACCTGCAGTGGCCAGGAGGTACGTCCTGATGGGTGGGAGCTCGAGGGCAGGGCCAGCGGGGGTGAATGACACGGGAGAGATGGGGGCACACCTGGGGCATAAGGAAGAAACTGAAGAGCTTGCCAGTGACGAGGGCGAGCTCAGAGGAGTGGGGCCCGATGACGGCCAGCACGCGGGGCTGGTACTGCGTGTAGTCACAGTGGGCAGCAATGTCGCGGCTGCCGGCCTTGGTCATGAACACGAGGCTGGGCTTCATGGCGACCATGGGTTCTGAGCATGTGTCGAAGATGTCATAGCCCAGGCGCAGCCCGGGCAGCAGGGTGGACCCTCTGTTGATCTCCTCCACAGCCATCTTCATAGCCAGTGCCCAGAGCAGGCCGAGTGACGAGAACCTGGGGCCACACGGGGCTGCAGGCGGCAACACCTCACCCCGCTGGGGCGCACCCCTCCCTGCCTGGCCACCCCCCGCCTCCCTACCTGGTACACACGGTGGTGTTGGGTTGTGTCCTGTTGCCAAGACCTGTGTCCTCGACCGAGCCCAGGGGGAAGAGCCCCCCCAGTATGTAGTCCCCCTGCACCCTGAGCTGTCGGGACAGGCACAGTGGGGCCCCTGTCCCAAGGCCCAGCAGAGCGGAGACGCCCAGGAGAACCAGGCCTGACATGGCAGGTGGCAGCTTCTGGCAAGGATGGCAAGTGGGTGAACTGGGTGGGGGCCCAGATATGGTGAGTTGGGGCTGGGAGGGGTGGAGGATTTGATTAGCAAAAACCCTCATTTGTCCTCACCTGCCCAGCCCAATGGCCCCTGGAGACACCCTCACGTTCCTGGACCACGGTTCCCACACGTCAGATCCTGTCATGCTGAGGCCATCGGGCTCTCTGGCCGACAGTGACCTGGGCAGACAGGCTTGGAGCAGCCACTGACCTTGACCCTGCTCCCTGTCTGTGCCCACTCTATTCCTAGAGAGGAGGAGGGACAGCCAGGACTTCTCTGCCAGAAGGTCCTGGGCTCCCCAGCTGCCTGTGGGAGGGGCTGGGGCTGCCAGTGTCCCAGGGAGGAGGCACAGAAATGCCCTCTCTCCTGCCCTGGGGAGGCACCATCGGCAGGCAGTCAGGGACTGCAGTGGTGACTTCATCTGCAGGCCCAGGGTGTCTCACAGGCCCGTGCATCAGCCAGGACAGTGGCCAGCTGGTCAGCCTGGCCTCCACACTGTGGCTGAGGGGGCATGGTCCTGGGTGTGGGCCATGGCCTCAGCCTGCCTGGGCACAGGGCACCTCGGGGGTCTGGGTGGCTCCTCCGCCAGGGACCTGAGGCCTGGGAGCTTGGGGAGCCTGGTGGCTGGCTATGCCGCCCTGGGTCTGGGTACCTGACAGGTGCCTCCCCGCGGGGACAGGGCTCTCTGCTCGGCCTGCATGCAAAGGAGGGAGAAGCTGTAACCAAATGAACTGCAGCAGCTGGGACAGCACCAGGTGTGCAGGGGGCGGGCAGCAGCTCCTAGGGACCTGTTACCCCCCTCCCACCCCTTGCCCCGCCTGGGAGGTAGATTCCCAGGAACTGACACCATGCCTGGGGGCGGAGGTGCTCCCAGAGGAACTGGGGGAGGCTGGCGATACCCCTGGGATGGAGGTTCTGGGAGTCTCAACCCTGGCTAGGCCTGGCAGACATTTACGGTAGGTGGTCTGGGGACCAGGGTTTGTCCCTCCACAGGCCTGTGGGGCCCACACTGCTCAGCACACTCAGGACACCTGTGTGCACATGGACAACAAATGACGCATGGACCCTGCATGTGCCTGAAACACACCCAGTGCTCCGCACCTGCACACCCATGACACACACACACCCAGTGCACCGCACCTGCACACCCATGACACATACACACCCAGTGCACCGCACCCGCACACCCATGACACACGCACCCAGTGCACCGCACCCGCACACCCATGACACACATACACACCCAGTGCACCACACCTGCACACCCATGACACACACGCACCCAGTGCACCGCACCCGCACACCCATGACACACACGCACCCAGTGCACCGCACCCGCACACCCATGACACACGCACCCAGTGCACCGCACCCGCACACCCATGACACACATACACACCCAGTGCACCACACCTGCACACCCATGACACACACGCACCCAGTGCACCGCACCCGCACACCCATGACACACACGCACCCAGTGCACCGCACCCGCACACCCATGACACACGCACCCAGTGCACCGCACCCGCACACCCATGACACACATACACACCCAGTGCACCGCACCTGCACGCCCATGACACACGCACCCAGTGCACCGCACCCGCACACCCATGACACACGCACCCAGTGCACCGCACCCGCACACCCATGACACACCCAGTGCACCGCACCTGCACACCCATGACACACACGCACCCAGTGCACCGCACCCGCACACCCATGACACACACGCACCCAGTGCACCGCACCCGCACACCCATGACACACACGCACCCAGTGCACCGCACCCGCACACCCATGACACACACGCACCCAGTGCACCGCACCCGCACACCCATGACACACACGCACCCAGTGCACCGCACCTGCACACCCATGACACACACGCACCCAGTGCACCGCACCTGCACACCCATGACACACACACCCAGTGCACCACACCTGTTTGATACATAGGGTACATGCATGATACGGTGCACCTGCATGATACATACATAAAATACACACACACACCGCAAAGACACGGGGCACTGCACCTGCATGTCACACACACCATACACCCATGCAGTGCGCCTGCACACATGTGCAGCCTTCACACTCTGGCCTGTGTGGACCCCAGACTGTCCTCCCAGGCAAGTCCTTTGCTGGCACCACACAGGGTGCAGCAGCAGAGCCTGGCGTTGACTCTAACATTGGGGCGCAATATTCAAGGGGACCCTTCCTGAGACTGTTGTCCCAGAGCAGCACTGCTCCTGGCTTAGCTGGGCAGGCCTCTCTTCTTTGCGGCTGGCCTGCCCTTCCAACCCAATCCATGGGTGATTCTGGGTCCATTTTCTCACCAATAAAATACTCCTGTAGACCTCAGCAGGGGCTGGAGGGAACCAAGCTAAACCCTGCACAAGGACAGCCAGGCAGCATCGCCCCACAGTGAGTGGGGCATGACTCATGTCCCTGTGGTTGACAGTGGTCTGCCATCCTGGCAGTGGGGCCTCAAGCCCCTCCCCGCAAGCAGACACCATGCTCATTCCCGTCCTGGAATGCAGTGTGTGCTCCTGTAATTGTAATTTATTCACGTTGGGAAAACCATCATCTGTTTCCAGTTTCCAAGATTCCCACTTATGCATGGGCCACTGCACGGCAGACCTTGGCACCCAAGGTCCTGAGGTTGCAGTGCAGACCCAGTGGACAGGCCCCCAGAGGTTGTGATGGCTGCGGGTGGTTGTCTGCCAGCCTGTTCGGCAAAGGGATCCAGGCCCTGCCCTGTGCCATGCACCTGGGTCTCCTCAGCTCCATGGGGACAGGCGCAAGGGGCAGGGGAGAGGGAACGCGGTGTCTTGCGGGTGCCGGGGAGGGAGGGGCCAGCTGGCCCCGCAGCCAGGGCTCCTGGGAGCTCGGGGCTGTGTGTGCAGACTCACAAGCAGCTGCCTGGGGGAGCAGCGTGGCTGCAGGAGGCTGCTGACCTGAGCAGGGCAGGCCTGTGCTTGGGGCTCCGGCTCCCGGTGGTCCCGCGGGGACATGTGGGCCCATGACTGACAAGATGAGGAGCAGGGAATGAGAGAGACGCAGTGCCAACGGCTGCCCAGGTTTTGTGCCTGCTCTGGGGACAGCCACCTGGCCACAGACAGTGGGTCCTGGGCTTGGGACCCAGTAAGCCTGAGAAGGACACACACCAGCTGGACACATCGCTGATGAGGAGTCTGCTCTCCAGGGACCTGTGACTCACCATTTCGCAGACTTGACTCACAGGTGGGGGCAGGCCAGGTTAGCATGAACTCTGACCCTGCCCCCACCATCCTATGTTCTGCCCTTCACCCACCTGGCTGGTGCCTGCCTAAGTGGGCCACGCTAGGACTGTGGCTCCCCAGAAGCTCAGCTTGTGGGAGGACGCTGGCTTTTCTGCTTCTGGGGCGCCCAGAGAGCTCCACGGTGGGACTGATGGGCCCTGGCTGCCCAGCCCAGCTCTGGAGAAGGGGCCCCCCAGCCTAGGCCTGCCAGCCCCTAGGGCAGGTCCAGCAGGGCATGGTCAGCGTAGAGCTTCTGAGAGACGTTGTACACCTGCTCGATGAAGGGCAGGGCCTCGCCCAGCATCTCCACAGCCTGTTCGGATGACCCCACGTTCATGGTCTCCAGGAAGACCTTGCGAGTGGGCAGCGTGTAGAAGGCCACGGTGACGGCCTGGCGGATGATCCAGGGGTGGTAGGCAGCCAGCGAGGCGCTGTAGGAGCTGGCGCAGAGCTCGGAGGTGCGCGCGTCCTCCGGGCTGGTGCGCAGGCCCTCCAGGAAGAGCTGCAGCCAGCGCAGCGCTCGGTGCAGCCGCAGCACCGTCCGGCAGCCCGAGTCTGGGTGGCGGGAGCGGCGCTCCAGGTCCACCAGCTTGTTGCTCGTCTCGTAGGCCACCATGGACTGCAGGCTGCTGTAGTGGTCCCGCTGGGGGCCGGTGCACAGGCGCTCCATGATCTGCAGCTTCGCCGCCACGTCCTTGGAGATGAAGGAGAAGACGGTGCCCAGGTGGTCCAGGAACCTGCAACGGAAGGCAGGGCTGGCCCAGGGCGCAGGGCCTGAGGCACAGCAGGACCCACGGCCCGGGGGTATGGCTGAGAAGCCCTGCCTTGGCCGCAGCCCCCCACGCACCTGATCAGCCCCTTCCAGCCGGTGAGGTAGTGCTCCAGCAGCACCTCTTCTTTCTCGTTGAGACATTGCTTGAAGTGGACCAGGACGACTTTCAGACTGAACTCCGACTCCGAGTCGTCCATTCTCACCGAGAGGGGCTTCACGCCTTTGGGGCTGGGCAGGACGTAGAAAAGAAACAGCTCGAGTCTCGCTGCTCCCCAGGCTCACTCCACTCAGCCTGGGCAGCACTCTCTCTGACACCCACCTGGCCCTGCCGTGCCCCTTCCCAGAACAGGCGCCCACAGACCTTAGCACAGCCCCCCCCTTGTCACACGGGACACATCCTGGTCATGGCTTCTTGCTTACTTGGATACTGTTCGTCTCTCACCAGAGGACCTGTTTCCACTACCTGGAGAGCGATGTGCCGAATCCCCACCCAGAGCCACTCTTCTAGGCACCCGGGGGCTCGGTGATCGAGATAAACTGCCCAGGCTGGTCAGAACAACATTCTAGTGGGCGTGGGCTGAGACAATAACAAAGCCCGGAAGTTCCAACAGGGCAGGTAACAGTGGGTAATCACTACGTAAAAGACAGTGGGGTGAGGTGGGAAGTAGGGAGGGGCTGGGCAGTCTTGTCCTTCACTGCACCCATTCTGAAAGCCAGCACAGAGGCCACAGGCCAGCATGTGCTGGGACAGATGGACAGACAACTATTGTCTGCTCCGAACTCTGCTTACATTCAGATACTCCACAAACATCCAAGCACCCACGCATCGAGTGGGTTCCACTGAGCACCCCAGCCCCTGCCTCCCTGAGTGTCCAGGACTGGCACCGAAGAGTGGCTCTTTTTCTAAAATCCTCACCGGAGGATAACCATCCATTGATTCTTTTTCTTTATCCTCATCTGAGGACATTTTTGCATTTATCTTCAGATAGAGCAGGAGGGAGAGATGGGGAAAGAGAGAGAGAGAGAGAAACATCGATATGAGAAACACATCGACTGGCTGCCACCCACGTGACCCCAACTGGGGCTGGGGACAAACTGCAACCGAGGTACGTGCCCTTTGTAGGAACGGAACCTGGGACCCTCTGGTCCACGGGCCGATGCTCCAACCTCTGAGCCAAACCGCAGGGCTATCCATTGATTCTTAAATAGAGTGGAAGGGAGGGAGGGAGGGAGGGAGAGAAACACTGGTGCCAAAGAGACACATCGATTGGTTGCCTCCTGCACGACCCAGACCGGGGCTGGGGATTGAACCTGCAACCGAGGTATGTGCCCTTGACCAGCACTGAACCTGTGACCCTTTGATCTGCAGGCTGATGCTCTAACCGCTGAGCAAAATCGGCCAGGGCTGAAGTGTGGCTCTTACGGGCCCCGGGGACTCAGCTGCATCTCACCTCACGTCCAGGAGAAGCTCTCGCCCCACTGGGCCTGGGGGGTTCTGTACCTTTGGTGCTGGGTGTCCTGCAGGGACCTGGAAAGGGAGGGAGGCCACCCGAGCTGTGCAACCGGACATCCGGGAACCTGTGTAGGCTCTGCCTCCCACTCCGTGGGCAGGCCACTCATGGTCCTAAGGCTGTGGGAACGTCTGATGGGGCCCAGTGGGTGCTGAGGCCCTGCAGGCCCCAAGGTCTGGGCCGAATGCCTAGCATTGTGTAGCGCCCTCAGAGATGAGCTCACCCGGTCTTCAGGTGTGGGGCAGGCATGCCAGGCCTCAGGAAGATGTCTCTCTGGAGACTTCCAGCCCCCGCCCCCCCGCCCCCCGCCCTGTTTTCTGTCCACTGAGCGGATGGTGTCTAGGCAGTCGGGGCTACTTTCCTGGCCACCAGACATCCTGTGAGCCTGGCCTCCCTGCCCAGGGCTCAAGCCAGCAGCCATAGGAGCTGCCAGGAGCCTTTCCGAGCCTGCAAACAGGAAGGGCAGTGGCTGAGCAGCTGAGGGTGGGCAGCCGGCCAGCTCTGCGAAGGTGATGCAAGACACTGCCAAGGCTCCCCGGGGCAGCCCACAGCCCCAAGGTCAGGGCTGGGCGGGAGGGTGACCTTAGCACCCGCATCCTGGGGCTGACAGCAGATTTCAGTTCCCCAGGAGACGGGGAAACCCACCCTGACACCCAGGCCCGGAGGGCGGGAGCGAAGCGGGCCCAAGAAGTCCTGCAAGACTCGCCCGGGAAGGGGCACCGGGTGGCGCCGGGCTCGGGCTGGGTGGGGGTCCGGTCCTCGGCAGGTGCTGCTCCCGCTGAGGCCCAGGGATGGGGTAGGGTCCCGGGCCCGGGCTGCCCCGGGAGCCAGGTCCTCGGCCGCCCCCTCCCGCGCCGGCTCCCCGGCGCCGCCCAGACCCACCGGCCGGCTCGGTCTGCCCGCGCCTCGCGCTCACCTGCGGTGCCTCCGCCTCTGCCCGTCTCCGCCGCCACCGGACCCGGCAGCCCGGACCCGGCAGCCCGCCCCCAGCCGTTGGATTGATTGCCGGCCGCCCAATCAGGAGACCGGACGCGCGGCGCGCGTTTCCGGCGGCGGCACACCGGAAGCGGGCGCTGCCGGGAGTGCGCTTGCGCAGTGCGTCGCTGCGCGTCGGCTCGCGTGCGGCGGCCAGGGCTCCGGCGGGAGTCTCGTCGGGTGGCGGTGGGCGCGGCGGCCCGCGAGCGCAGAGGCGAGGGGCCTGGGGGCGCGCCGGGCAGGATGCCCGAGATCAGGGTCACCCCCCTGGGTGAGTGAGGGCGCCGGGCCGGCGTCGGGCGGTGCTCTGCCGGCGGGCCGGGGGCACAGGGGCCGGTCGCGTTCCGGGAGCCCGCAGCCGCCCCGCCCGGCTCCGGCCCTGCGTGGAGAGGCGCGGGCCCGCTGCCGGGAGGTGTCCCAGGGGTCCTGACAGCGAGATGAGGGCGCGCCCGCCGAGAGCCGGCCTGGGCGCCGCTGCGTCCCCCGCTTTGCACGCGGACGGAGCTCGGGGCGCCTGCGCCTGCGCGTGCTCGCCGCTCGCTCCTCCGTCTGCCTCGCGCCGGCGGCCCCGCTCAGTGCAGCCCCTGGCGTGCTTGTCCTCCGTAACGTTAACCGAAGTACCTTGGAAAAGATAAGACGTGGCGCGTTAAAAAGCCCGGACAGCCCAGCACTGCACCGAGGAGGAGAGCACTCGGAATGCACGGCCCCGGGAACAGCTGGGCTGTCCTGTCGGTGGCCACCCTCCAGATTTCTCTGGGCATTTCCCTGCACACACCCCGTGCGCTGCCCCAGCACCTGCCTGCTTCGCCGGGCTGTGTGGGGAGCACCCTCCCGTTCAGGTGGCCCACGCACCTGCAAGTCCTTGCTCCTAGTGTGAGCTCTCCCTGGGAGTAGCCCACCCAGCCCCCGCTGGGGCGCCGAGCTGTTGAAGCTGCATCTCAGCTCCAGCGCCTCACTGGGTCAGAGCAAACATCCCCCACCGCCGTGCACGTTGCCACACCCATGGCCTCTTGTAGCTTTTGGCACAGGGTTCCCTCTGACCACTGGGGCCACACGCCGGACCCTGTCCCTGGCTCCTCTCCAGGGGCCTCTGCAGAACTCTCCTTCCAGCCCCTTTTCCACTTGGCTCCTTTTCTCAACACCCACTCTCCTCCAATAGTCTGGCCTTTTTACTGCTCCTGTTACCCTAGTCTGCTCCTGGGTGTGCCCCCAACGTCACCCATCTTCATCACCACCAGAGCAGAACTGTTTCTCCACTGTCTCTCTTCGCCAGTTTCTGCCTTATTTGTGGGCTCCCTGGTCACCTGGGCCAGGTATGGAGAGTCTCCTAGGCCGCAGGGCCTTTGCACACCTGCCTCCCCCCTGCTGTCCCTCTCCACCCTGCTTGGATGTCGTAAGCCTGTCATGGTTCTGGAAGTTTCTGTGTCCCTGCGTAACTTAGCTCCATGGCACTTGTCTCCACCTGGTGCCGTCAGTGAGACTTGTCTGTGTGCCCACTGTCTGTCTCCTTTCCGTAGAACATGAGCTTCCTGTTGACAGGCTGTCTTCTTTTTTCTGGAGTCCTGTCCCCTTCTGTGTGCCCTGGACTCTGTTCCCCACATCTTCTGCCCAGGTCAGGCCACTGTTCTTTTACTTACTTAAATCCTCACCCAGGGATATTTTTTTCAATTGATTTTTAGGGAGAGTGGGAGAGAGGGGTGAGAGAGAGAGAGAGAGAAACACCAGTGTGAGAGAGACACATTGATTGATTGCCTCCTGCATGACCCTTGACTGGGGCCAGGAATCAGACATGCAACCCAGGTATGTGTCCTTGACTGGGAATCAAATCCGTGACCCTTTGGTGTGTGGGCTGACACGCTAATGATTTTGCCACACTGGCCAGGGCCAGGGCCAGGCCACTGTTTTTGCTCCCTGAGATTGTTTCTATTGGGGGCAGGTGGCCAGTGCCTAAGAGCTGGGTTCTGGAATTTGGAAAGCCATCCCGGGCCCCATTCTTAGGAGATGTGTGCCTTGGTGGGGGTGTGATCTCACGAGAAGGTAGCCCTTAGTCTGAGGGCCTTTGAGCTAGCATGGCAGGGAGCAGACAGCTGCTCCCCTGCTCTTGGGGTGGCACGTCTCAGGGACAGGAGCAGGCCTGTAAGAGACCTCCAGGCCACCGCCTGTGGCACACAGGCAAGGCTCTTGGCTGGCATTCCCTGCTGTTGTCACGGGTGATAAACTTCTTGAGGACCAGTCCCCATCTTGCTCTGGACGTAGCCCCGTGACCTGTGTGTGTGGTGCCAACAGAAGGTCAGGTGGCTGGCAGAGGGAGACTTGTAGAGTTCAAGATGGAAAGCAGGCTGTTTGCTGTTATTGGGCCCTGAAAGGTTGTGTCCATTTCCTTATGGGCCCCCAGGCCCCAGAGGAGGCCACAGATGAACGTAGGAGGTGACCAGGATGTGCCCTGCTGGGGCTGGAGCAGCTGGGCAGGGCTTGGAGGTCAAGGACGTGGATGGGACTCAGGTTACGGTCTGGTCACTGTAGTTGGTTGTTGCTGGACAGCTGGGGCCTTGTTTCCCTAGAGCTGGGCTAGAGCCACATGAGGAACCTCTGGTGGCACCAGCAGCAGGTACCTGACACCTTTTGGGGGCAGGTCCTGGAGGGGGGGTCTCGGCCCAGATGTGACCCCAGCCTAGGTTTCAGGAGGGGTGGTGAGGCCCGCCAGAGCTCTGGCATGCCTCCGTTGTGCTGGGATCCTAGCCCTCGGCCTTCCAGGGTGTCGGTGGGTCACAGCGGGTGGGCTGTGACCTTGCAGGTGGGTCACAGCGGGTGGGCTGTGACCTTGCATCTGAGCGGGGCAGCGGAGGCTGGAGGCACAGTGTGGGAGGGCACTCAGAACTCACTTGAAGGACTTGGCACTTCGTGTCCTCCCTGTGCATTCTCCTTCCTGTCTGTGTGGAGGTGGCTGTGTTCTCACCTCACATGTTGTCCACACTGCCTGCGGGTCTTTTCCAGCCTCCTGAGGGCTTTGCAGGGCCAGGGATCCAGAGTAGCCAGTAGCGTCTGGAACAGGCAGCTGGGCCTTGTCCGTGGAGCTGGGGCCACAGAGCACAGCAGAGCTGAGGTTGGTGGGGGAGGGGGAGGGAGTGCAGCACCTCACTGCTGCTATCCCTTCAGGGGCTGGCCAGGATGTGGGCCGCAGCTGCATCCTGGTCTCCATCGGGGGCAAGAATGTCATGCTGGACTGCGGGATGCACATGGGCTTCAGTGATGACGTGAGTCCTGTGGTGGGGAGGTCCTGCTGCCCAGCCCGCTCCTGGTCGAGGACGCAGGGACTCTGCGTCTCAGGCTCTGACCCTTGGGGTGGGGCAAGTGGGCAGTGTAGGAGGCAGGGGGTTTCGTCTGGGGTCACTGCATGCCTGCGCAGCCCCCCACCGTCACATGACAGATGTGTGCCCTGCATGGGGTTTGGTCTGTACAGAGGGGCTCATGGGCCTCTGCAGGGGTGGGCTGGGCTGGGTTACTGGTTCCAGCAGTCAGGCCATGAGCTGTGAGTGGTTCAGGTGCCGCCCACTGGACAGGGGCGTGGTGTCCAGCTGCTTCCTGGGGCACTGGCTCCCCTCCTGTCCCTGGGCCCAGGCCCCGGGCTACTGTGTCCTGACGCTTTCTCTTGACTTCTCAGAGGCGCTTCCCAGACTTTTCCTACATCACCCGCAACGGCCGGCTGACCGACTTCCTGGACTGTGTGATAATCAGGTGGGCTCCTGTCACAGGGCTGCTGGTGACAGTGCTGTGCCGCTTCAACCTTCCCGCCTCCAGGACCCTCAAGAACCCAGGAGAGCCGCTCTGGGCCCGTGGAGGCTGCAGGCCGTGGGGTTTGCGGGCCTGGACTCTCTCCCAGGCCTGGCCCTCCCCACCTCTGGATGCTGGCCCTGGTGGTGGCGTCTTTGTGTGCGGTCATAGGTGTTCATGGCTGCTCCTCGGTGGGCTACAGTCAGTCCTGGGGTGGGGAGGGGGGTGGATAGGGCTGTGCCGCCCAAGTGTTGTGGACGAGAGCCCAGGTGCCCCAGAAATGAGGCTGCTTCAGGCCTCCAGAGGGTGTGCTGCGTTGGGCCCATCTATAGCAGTGACTGGTCCCCCCACCTCCCTGGCTAGTCCTTGACCCCTGAGGGCCTTTGCAGACGCCTTTGTTGACCCTGCCCCTGACCTCTAGGCCTGCCTTGCCTGCTGACCGGGCTTTGCTTTCTCTCCTCTGACCCTCGTGCTCCACTCAGGTGGTCACAAACCTCTCGGGGACCAGCCCTCAC